TTTGGCCTTAAGTTGTAAACGTGATCGACAAGTATAACTTGATCGACAAGTATAGGTATAGCCATCTACACATGTGTGTATATATATCTTTGTATCATTGTGAATAAATTCAAGAAGGTATATACTATATTTCTACACAAACACAAGGTTTCTCTTACACCCATCAAAAAGATCTAGTTTTCTTGTCTAGAGAAGTTTTGCTCCAAGGATAGTTACCTGCATAAACTTTGTCATATATGACTTCTTTCTCCGATGTGACATTGTTTCAAGATATCCTCAGGTGTCCAAACAAATCTCTGCTCATAAGACAAAAAAGCAGTTCCCTATATTGTTTTCATTACTCAAAAAATTTTGAATTCACAAAATCTTTGCACATTTTTCATAAACTAGCCTCCTTGGTTTCGTTTGGTTTTTGTTTTCCTATATATTTTTTCTAGGGTTTAGGATTCTGATTACTATATATATGATGCCACAAAATAATTAACAAAAAGACATAAAACTTGACAGATATCAAAGTTTCAAAGTACTTGTATGTACAGTATATATCCTCTACCTTAGTATTAGTAAGAGTCATTCAACAATAATCAAGTTTAGTTTCAAATCAGCAAAGCATGTTTGTCTTTTCTTAACTAAACAGAAAAATTAATTGACCAGGCTTGTTCAAATGATATGAATGAATAAAAAAAGAGATGGTGCAGGAAATATATCTCCTCCTTTTCTTCTGCCTTCTGCATGTACCTAACCTTAATTACTGGATCTGCATCGAACTTGGAACATAAGAGAACACATCTCCGAGATCCGTTACTTTGAAACATCATCCTCTCCAACCACGATAGATGTGGCGCACTCCTCGCCATACTTGTCACAGTCTCATAAAACATTATCACAAGATAATAACTGAAAATCTCTTTTTTTTGAATGCAATGTTAAATTATATTCAAAAGAAAAAATGTACGGTTTTACAACTTGTGCATCGTTTGGTTGAAACAAAAATTGAAGCAAAATTTGAAACTATTTTGAATATCTAGACCTCCCGTTGAAGCTTAGCTGCGAGCTTGAAGCCAGAGTTGGTACGCGTCGTCATACCTTATGTCTCCCATAAGTCGGACTGCTGAGATTTGATTCCTTACATGTTTGTCAATCCACCCCGTGATGCGTTCAGCTGTTTGTGGGTTCTCTCCATGTCGCCGCCCATTCCTTTCTCTCCATATGGTATAGGTAACTGCTTGAAATACATATCGAAAGAGGAAGCCCTCTACTCGGTTGAGCTGTTTGGAAGATATAATGTCAAGAAGAAGAAGCCAATCTGAAAATCTCATAAAATATTATTTCAAAAAACTTATATTTATAGATTTATTTCTATCTTTTTCAAAAAGGAAAAACAAAATGTTAACCAATCAAACTGTAAGTACTCACTTCTTCTTAGTTCTCTCACTCCTGGAAAAAGGAAATACCGACACAGGGACCAAATATTATAAGGTTAACTATTAACGAAAAGGAAATCAGACAACGGCTATAATTAGTTACTAATCACAGTAATTAAAAACTAAATTAAAAAAAAGGAAACCCTAAATTTAATGTAAGCAGTAAGCACTAAGCATAGAGCGTAAGTATTATTTAAGGCAATAGAGGCTCTCTCATTCTCACTTTCTCTCAGTTTCTCTGACTTCCTTGTGTATCACGTTTTTTCTCTCAGAAGAACTTGAAGTTTTCGATTCTATCAAAAATTCACAATGAGTATGTATTACGATGAGGTTCATCTCACGGCTTCAGGGAAAGGCATGTGGTTGAATTTATGTGTACTGGTTGATGCGGTGTTATGTTATATGAAGAAGAACAACGTCGTACGACTGTCTCTGAAGAAGAAGCAGAAAGCCAGAAGAGAATCTTTTGTCTCTTCCCGAGAAAAACAAGATCGTCTTTGGTGAAGAGACAACAAAAGCTTAATGGGTTTTTAACTTCTACTTCTTCATCGCTTATCGATCTTAACCAGTTCCCTACTGATTCTGAGACAGAACAAAACCATCTTCAGTTGCTATCTTCTTCATGTTTCATCCCCGCTGATTCCGAGACGAAAACACTACAAAACCTAGTTCTGACTCTTGTTCTTCACTCGTAGTCTTTGATTACAAGATGGCTGAGTCCGAGGAGAGGGAGACGAAAGACCCACAAAATCCTAATTCCCAATCTTCTATGTCTTTGTGCCTAACGGAGAACACAAGCCGCAAGAGACGTGCTGTGGAACAGAGGAAGCGTACTGGTGGAGTCAAGAAAGCAAAGGTTGCTCCTTCTTCAGGGACAGCGAGAGAGACGCCTGAGTGGCTTGTCAAGGTGATGAGAGACATGAAAGAAGTTAAAGACGCTAAACTGATATTTGAGAAGACTCTGTTCGTGACTGATGTAAACCCAACACAGAACCGTCTCTCAATGCCTTTCAACAACTTAATCCGAAACGATTTCCTGACGTCTGTGGAGTCCATAATCATAAACGAAGACATCAACAATAATAAGAAGATTGGAGTGGGAGTGATTCTCGTGGATCAACGGTCTGAGAAGTGGGGTGTCAGGAAAAGGAAGCTGGAATTACAATTTAATTTGTGGGTGGATCGATGTCGTTGATGCTAACGGATTGAAAGACGGTGACAACATTAGTCTTTGGTCGTTCAGGTGTTGTGGAGTCCTCTGCTTTGCCATGGAACTGAGTAGCTCTTCTCTTGCTCTCTGTGTCTGCTAAGTTTCATTTATGCTAATAAAAATCCATTTATGCTATTGTAATTGGCCTCTTCGGTGTCCCGGCCCTTTACCACTTTCCACATGTTTGACAAAATTGTTGTTGTATATAGACGCAATCTCAGGAGTTATTAAGTTCCCGTTACCGGCACACGGCCATCCAGTCTCTATTACCACCATCGGTAAATCTTTTATGCCCTCTTTCTCTATTGCCCATACAAACACATCAAATAACATATAAAACATGTTTGAATAACCAATTGGCCAGTTTTGGACCACAAGCGTATCGGTGTTGAAGATGGCAAGATGAAGGTTGATAGGATCAGCTGCATAAGAGAAGTAAGGGGTAAATATTGACAAGGATAGGTTTACTTGTTTGAGACAAAAAAGTCAGCACGGGGATAAGTTGTTCTCGGGCTTGGGGAGTGAAATCTCCGGCAGAAGGTGGATACGACTGGCCAAGGTTGGTCATTTTCCACCGTGGTACTAATCAAGATTGGGAGAATCCTCGACTTGACAACGTTGGTGAGAGAGTGCATGACGGGTAGCACGTAAGAGCCGATTTCTCCGGGGATGATTTCATTCTCAACAGTAATGAACGTGATGTTGACATCAGATAAGTAAGGCTCAATGTTGGTCACGAACCATGTGTTAACAGCGTCTTCGTTGGCCAAAAGAGCCTCTAAGTCTTGGTTCTTCACACCTACCATAATTCCAATATCATGGTTACCTCGGAAGGTGTTAAGGACATCCATATTCATATCAAAGATCCGAATATTGGTTATACTTAGGGGTATCAATATGGATCAATCTAAACCAATTCATTCCATGAATTTAATAAAGTGGAAAATTTGGTTCCCGCCAAAAACGTGATTTCATATTTCCCCCGGCAAAAACGTAATTCCGGATTTTCCCACGAAAACGTGATTCCGTGATTTTCTCGCCAAAAACTAGAGCTGTCAAAATGGGCTGTCCACGTCCATTAGCCCGGTCCAATATTGACCATTTTAGTTATGGACAAATAATGTCCATGTCCATTATAGCCCATGCCCATTATAGCCCATGTTTTAATGGGCTGTCCATTGGTGTCCATTGGTCACCACAAGAACAAATTATGAAAAACGCCAAAATCTGCAAAAATCTCAAATTCAATCCAAAAGTTTAAGACAAATATCCAAATAAACAACAAAGTATCACATACAAAAGCAAATCAAAGCAACAAAGTATCAAATCCAAAAGCAAATCATAGCAATAAAGTATTCAAATGTGAACTTCTTCTTCTACTTCCTTCACAAATGTCTTAAACTTCTTCTTCTCCTTCCTTCACACCTTTGTCTTCATCAAGGAACTCAACTGGAACACCTAAGTACAGCAGAATAACAACTTTGCAATAAGATTCAAATTGATTCAAATATGACAAAAGAAAATAAGCACAAACACTTACTAATTTCTTCAAAGTCACGTAGCCAATTCCTTGCGCAAATCAGTGCTTGCACATTTGAAGGAAGAAGTGAACTCCTGTACTTATTTAAGACTCGGCTTCCTATGCTAAATGAAGATTCTGCAGCTACTGTTGTAATGGGGATGCTCAAGACATCACAGGCCATAGCAGACAATTCTTTGAACCGGTTTGCGTTGTCTCTCCAATAAGCCAATATATCCATTCTCTTAAAGGCCACCATATCCAAAACAGGTTCATCCAAATACTTGTCTAATGCGGACTTTCCATTAGCACCAGCCGTCTGAGAAATAAAAGCATAAAACCCCTGCATAGACAGACAATACACAGATCAATACATGAAAATGATGAGTTTTTATCCTTAAAAGACAGAATCACAGAGACTACAAACCTGCAGCAATCATACCAGAAACGGTTTCTGAGAAACCAATACACTTTGATGAAACTATACTTAAGAAACCATTTGACTATACTTAAAGACAGAATGAGTTAAAGACAGACTATACTTGCACAGTTTCTGAGAATCACAGAAACTTCTGACACATTATCCTTCACAGAGTTTTAAAACTTCTTACACAGAGAAACTTACATCATATCCTGGAAGAATGTTTTGTCCCACTGTGGAGTCTGAAGTTCCAGCAGCTTTCTTTGGGTTCTTTTTATAGACCTCCAAAAGCTTCTTCAGATTCTTATGCCAGT